GGATGATCAGGAGTTCAGAGCTAGCCTTGACTACATGAGCTCCTGCCTTTAACAAAAAGTAAATAAATTTGCTTTTTTTCAGGTCCCATACTGGTCAATAAAATAAGTATATCTTTGATTATAAGGTTTTGATTCTACTGAATGGGCATGTGAGTGTGTGAGCACAGACTAATGGAGCTCTTTGCATATAAAATGTAGCATGACTTAAAATACCTTGGTTATCAAATTGTATTACTTATATTTGGATCTTCAAAGAAAAGCATTTATCCTAAGAAAGGGCTTCCTCAGAGAATAATTAGAAAATTAATTAGCGTATAAGCTTTGTAATAGCTTAATCCATGACTGTTGTGTCATGCTGCATGGTGTGTGTTTTAACCTAGATAGCAAAATGACTCGGGAGCTTTAGACACTCAGCATCAGGAGTGAATTCATAGTCACAAGTCTCTCTGTCCAGTATGACTGGAGGCTTGTTTGGTTTTTGAATGGAGTTGAGATCTTGATGCAAGAATAGCTACAGGCCTTCCAGGTACTTTTTCATTAGTTCCTACTCATAACATACCTTTTTTCATGCCTGTTTTCTTTTCTGAGGCAGAGTCTCATGTAAGCCAGACTGGTCTCCGAACTCCTGCCTCTAAGTCCTAAATGCTGAAACCATAAGCCTGTGGTACCACGCCTTGCTTGATTTGTTTTTTCCTTTCACTGAGGAAAACTTATTCTAGGAACCATTAAATGCCTCAATATAGAGATAGTGTAATCCAGAAACCCTTATCTAAAAATTATCTCATCTTTCTTTTTTTGCATTCCAAAGTAATCTTTAAGTCCAATTTTGAGAAAGAATAAAGGATGGAAATACCATTAATGAATCGTTGATATATTTTATCTCATTCTTAGTTTACTGCTTTAAATGTCTGCTTCGCACCGCCTCATTTTAAAAATAGAGCAGGACACTGAAACAAGAAACAGATTATGTCTATCTTGCTAACTACAGCTGGTGACATTCTGTTGCAGACGTTGTGGGGGCAATGGCATGCTTTGGGAATAAACTGAATTTAAAGCACAAGTTCTTCCGTCATTTTCATGCATTTTCTTCCTTGCCCACACCTCTATTATGTATACCATCACAGGATAATGGTAAAAATAGTAATAACAATTGACATGTCACCTCCTGCCTCTCCATTAGGAACCCATGAAATATTTTCAAAGAAAAACAGAAACTTTTAATAGTTCTGTAAATTAAAAAAAAAATTCCAAAGATTGGTGACAAACTCCAGGGAGAATTTCATTAGCAAGAGTAGATTAAAACGCAGTCTTGAATGTCATGTTATTTATTACACTTTCTGAAACCAGCTGAGGCAAAAAATAGCCAAAGGGAGGAGGAAAAGAGCTGCACCTATGTCTAAAAGAGACTTGCCGACAGGCAGCCATCTCACCTAGCAACCCGAGTTCTCAGTTCCCCAGTAGTCCATTTAACATCCATATTCCCAGTTCATTTCAGAGACTAGCGGCTCCCAAATACATAAAGTAAGGCAAGAAATAGAGAAGGCTTGGGAGAGACATAATAACATCCACAGAGAAGTGAGGGAGCCGCCAGTACCAAGGTGGCCGGAGCCTCCACAGGAAAGAGCAAATGTTTTCATTTGGCTTCTTGTTCAGAGAACCCTTCTGAGGGAGTCTGAGTTCAAACCAGCTCAGCCCACTGAGCAGGGTGTTAGTTAGGCATCGCTTTGGAGATCAAGCTCTGAGTACATCCATCTTTATTTGAAGTTCAGGTGGCTGAAAAACCCATCTACCCAGTTTGCTGCCAGATGCCAGTCGCGTTGAATTTCTTTCCATCTTGGTAATGAGTATGAGGTTAAAAACGGGCTGTGGGGAGAGGAGGGCTGTGAAAAGAGGAGTCAAAATGTTCTCTTGAGCTTTAGACGCAACAGCCAGCCTTGAAAATGACTGTTGTCTAACAAGCAGATGAAGTCAAGGCATCTGCTCTGTCACCTGAAAGGGAACAGTCAAGATTGGCCCTGAATAGTGTAGAAGAAACTGAACCACGGCAATAAATTCAGGACTTGACTGACATTAGGAAAGATTAAGAAGCCTAGAATGGAGCACATGAAGAACGAAATTGATTACATTTGAATAATTCACAGCTTTTGAATAATTCACTCACGGAATGGTCACTAAATGTCAAATATCTACTCTGTGCCTGATCCAGTAGGTATTGGTGACATAATGCTGAGCAAAACTGATTAAGCAGTTATGAAAGGTACACCTGGAAGATACAAAGTTTACACTGGAAATTACTAGAAAGGTTAGGGTAGAAACAATATTTAAGGTTATTAGAAGAAAATCTGAACACCCATACTTTTCAGATATTAATTCAGACCTCAAACACATGGATTTCTTCTAAAATATAGACAGATGTTTCAGTTGTTTTTTACATCAAGGAAAAGAAGTGATCTAAGAAAATTAAGGTATAAAAATTAAGGTACCTAGTTATCTAAGGTATACAAGCCATATTGGATATAGATTTCTCAAAACCAGAGACCATTATGGCGTTCTTTGCTCCCTGTTTAGAGCCTTCTGTGCTGTCAGTATAATTTATGTTAGAAAACAGCAGGCCTTCGTGGGACGGGGGCAATGCATGTGTTTGGGATATAGGGAGAGAGGCCAAGCAACAACCTCCGGTGTCATTCCATCAGACGCCATCCATTTTGTTTATTTTAGAGAGGTTCTCTCACTGGCATGAAGCTCTTCAAGTAGGCTAGGCTGGCCTCAGGGATGTGCCTGTCTCCACCTCTCTAGTGTGAGTTTCCAAGCTCATGCTACCACACTTTACTTTTTACCAGGGGTTATGGGGACCGAATTCAAGGCCTCCCTCATACTTGAGTGGCAAAGCACTTTACCAACTAAGCTATCTCCCCAGCGTGAGCAAAGCTTCTTTTAAATCCTCTCATTTTTTTTCTCTTGGAAAAAAAATAGCTATTATATGGATTTCTTGCAAGACATTTCAGTCTTAATAGGCATATAGATTTCCAATGCAGGCGATGTGAGTGGCACTTTCCTGGGTTTTGCTACAAGCATACAGAAAAATCTGTAAGAATGCAAGATTCGCTTCCCCCAAATTAATGAATCCTCCCTTCGTCTCTCCATCCGTCCCTCCCTTCCTTCTTTCTCACATTTCTCTTTTAGTCTCACACATGCTAAGCTTGCTTTCTACCACTAAGCCACATCTCAAGCTATTCCATAAATTCTGTGTCTGCCCACTTGTTGCACGACTGAGGGTGTTCACATAATAGGAAAATAGGGTGGCTGAGGGTGTTCACATAATAGGAAAATAGGGTAGTGTCTCAGAATAGTATTCAGAGATAGATTTGTGGCGGAACAAAAACTAATGCAAATCAAGTATTTAAATACATGAAAACCATTGTAGAAATGGGCTTTTAGTAAATACGAAGCCACTGAATATGTAAATAAGTTGACATAATAGCCTGTATGCATGTAGCTATGTTAGGCTTAACAGCCAAAACCTGTTCTTAGTTTTATTCAGCCAAGTAACAAGAAAGCCAGGATCTAGAACTTCATATTAATGTAAAAGTTTAAGGTACCAGTAATTTAAAGGAGTTCTGGCATAAGAATAGATAGGTCAATAGCCTACACCAGACAAGAAAGCTCTGAAAGTAACTTCAGAATTTGTAAGGATGCTAAGATACAACAGTTACAAATCATCACTAAAGGGGACTGGGAAAATTGATTCAACATTTAGAAATTATATCAAATCTGAAGTTGCTCACTTCCACATTTACTAAAGTAAATTATAATTGGTTAAAGATTTAAGGGATGAAATCATTAAAATATCAAAATGCATAAATATGAATGAATAATCATGATGTTCAAGTCCAGACTTGTGGCACAAAGATGATGAACATAAATTACAAAGGCCAGTTAAATCAGAATTGATCTTGTATTATACTCTACAGTATAATAACCTTCAGTTTGGCAACAAGTTTTCATCCATGCATCAGTAGAAACAAACAAACAACAAATAAATAGCCCTGGTAGAGTTCATTTTATGTAGCAGGTAATAGGAAATTTCTCTAGTCAGGGCCAGCACGATGGCCTAATGGATAAAGATCCTTGTTGTCAAACTGAACAACCTGAGTTTGGTCCTCGGTACCTCCATGATGAGAATAGAGAACCAGGCCTCATCAGTTGTCTGATCTGTACATGTGTTGTGGTATGCATCCCCGACTCCCAATAGATAACCAAATGTAATTAAAAATTTTAAAAACCTTACCTGCTGTTAACATTGAATTAGAAATATATTCGTTTAAGTAATAATAAACTGTTTTGGCACTGACTGTGAGCTGGATATTAAACATTGCTCAAGGGAACTAACTGTGAAAGTGGTATGTGTGATTGGGAGTATGTCTTAGGAGCCTTCAGCATTTGTGGCCTTTGAGCCATCTGTATCACTATAGCCAGAGCATTTGCTCTGGAAGTGAAGATGCCCCTATCGGAGGATGTTCATTGATAGACTGTCTAAATAACCATCTATTACAAATGGAGCTTTAAACAGTTATTTACCAACAGGTATGCACGTTACTTAGGCAATATGAAGTGACATGCACAGTATATAACAAAGCGTACACTATTATGATTCCAAGTTGAGAAAAAGAATTCTGAAAGGAATATACCAAACTGTTATGTGAATAGTTCTGGATGTCTTCTTTGTTTTTATTTCTTTTACAACCTGTACTTTTGAAGACATTAACAGTTCAGATTTATGTTTCCTGCATATCATGGGAGTGTCTGTTCTTTACCTCTTATCACTGCCCTTTTTTCTCTATCCTTGACAATGTCTGCAGGGTGATAAGAGAGGATTTTGAAACAAAGAAATGGTGGATGGAGATGGTGATCTGTGTCTTTGCCCTGCTGTCCCCAGATAATTGGGATCCCCAGTTGGGACTAGGGAATGATTCTTACCTCTGCTTCTTTTTCCTTTCCAGGAAACACATGAAATTGTGGCAATCAAGAAATTTAAGGACAGTGAAGGTAAGTATGCAATTTTACTTCTGTAATATTTTTGTAAATATAAAGTGCGACAGGGAGGGTTTAGTTGGTTAGACCCTAGCCTTGTGATTTTAATATCATAATCTCAGGAGTGAGCGTAACTTATTTATCAGCATGCTTTACTTTGAAATATACGATATTAGAACATCTATTTTAATTTACACTCAGGGGTGGACATTTTGCTCCAAAGGCTAGACAGACATCTTCTTAACCACGTGTTTGCCTGTAATCTATGTAGATTCCAATGGAACGCTGAGTAAAAGCAAATGCATCTGGAGTGAGTGCTGAAAAAGATTCAGCATGTGGTCACTATGTTCTCCAACTCCTAGGCACAGCAAGAAATACAAGGATAAGTGGGAGGTGGTATAGAGATGAGAACATTTTATGTTTAGGGCCATGGATTGAGAGACTAAAAGCTTTTCAATAAGAAATACCACATTTGGGGGCCTTGAACACAATTCTAGACTGTTTCAAATGGAGCTTTAAAATTCTCTGCTGGGAAAGAAAGTTTCAAATAAAATACTTTACTAGTGCATTAGTTTAGAAACCTTAGCTCCTAACTCTTACCCAGACAAAGAAAGGCTGGTAATGAAAGTCCACATGGCTTTTGAGGAGGTTTAGGCAGCAGTTCTTCCCAATTTTTAGTACAGAGACCCCAGTAAAAATACTTTTTAAACCCTAGCCCCGTTTCCATATACATATAATGAAGCAAAACTCTCACAGAAATCTTGTGTTAATGACATTCTCTGTTTTCTGTTTTCCCTGGTTTATGGAAAATCTTGAGAAAAAAGTGCATTGTGACATTGAGTTGCAACCTACCATATGAAAAACAGATAAAAAGTACCAGCATCAGCCTCTATCTAATGCGAAACCTGAAGATAAACAACATAGTCTGGCTTCCTTGGTGTACACTGACTAAGCACTTTAAACACATGCTTCTATATTTATGGAGAGTCGCATCACCCTCACCCCAGATACTTAGAAAGCATGAAATAACAAAGAGGGCTTGCTCACAAAAGCCTCCTAGGAGAGCTTCCACAGCATTATGGTTAGAATTGGACTATGATGTTTTACTGATGTGGAGCGCATGCATATTACCCAGGCCCATGAGTAGCCGTTGTGAGGGCAGTCTTAAAGGAAGGTACTGAGAAGCTTGGAACTATGTGCCTGGGATCTAATGGAAGCAGCTGCCCATGTCGGACCCACTGTGAGACCATTGGAAATAGGCTCGTTGAGCAGTGACTTTAGACTAGTGACAGGCGCAGAGACAAATGCTGATCTAAAAAGGGTGACTGTAGCAGAAGATCCAAGCACCACCCTTGCGTGTGTGTGGAGACTTCTGACTCTGTATTCGCCTTTAAGGTTGCATTGGCAAGCTGAAAAAAGAGAAAGTGTCAGCAGACTTTCAAAAACAATTTTTTTTGGTCATAGTGTCTCATGTAGACCTAAGCTTGCATACTGTCTTCTATGTATGTCTTTACCCTGTTCCTCTAGCAAGAATACTGCCTTACTTAATATGTACAAACTTAATATGGTACAGGTCGGCTGACCAACTTTTTGGAGTCTGAGTTATACGTAAATAGTTTCATATAGATAAGATTGTCTTTTGAGCGCCTTTGTAAACTATTATAATTCAAAATTTCTTTTATTCTCTAAATTCCAACCAGGTCTATTATAATAAAAAATGAGCGTTTGGATAATATTGTTCTCATTGTCCCGTAGCCCTCAACCATTCTTTTTATTAGTTATTATGAAAATTTGTATTATAATTATTCTAAATTATTCTAAAGCAAACATTTCCAAATCTTTGAGAAAATAAATGAAGTAATTCCATAAAAGCAATGTTAAACTTTAGTTGAAATGGGACCCGTCCTTGGTCTGACTACCATTCACATGAATGTTTCTAAATATTCTCTAGCTGATGATATACAGGGAGTATGTTTAAGAATATGTGCCACCCTCTGGTTGCTTTGAAGATTATAATAATGTCTTACTGTCCTGTTAAGATGATATGGATCCAAAAATTTGTGTATATTTTTGAAATATTTTATTTTTAAATTTAATTTAAATAGACATTTAATTTCATTAATTTACTAATAAATTAAATAAAATTTATTTAATTTCAAATTTAAGTTAAAAATAAAGTATATTATTATTTTATTTTAAAACATATTTTCAAGTAGACCACTTTTTGTGCAAAAGATCTTTATTGTCCCAGAATAACTGATTGCTATTTAAAATAAGACCCAAATATTTTATCATAAATAAAAGGCTGAAATTATGAAAATAAGTTTGCTTTATAGTAAATACAATTTTAACCATAATAGCAGCTGCATGCTAGTTTTTAATATCTTAGGAGAATTGAATATTGTCTTTTAAGCAGGAAAGTCAGTTTTTAGAGTAAAATTGCGTTCTAGCTCAAAATGTAGCAAAAAGGCTTTGTCAGTTTTCACCCTTCTAATATGTCTGTCTTCATGTTTCAGTTTTTAAAATTGTTTTAGGATTATTTTTACTTTGTATCTATGAGAGCTTTGTTGGCATGTATGAATGTATACTCTGTATGTGTCCAGTGCCCATGGAGGTAGGAACAGGACATTGGATCCCCTAGAACTGGAGTTATGGGGAGTTGTGAACCACCATGTGGGTGCTGGGAATCAAACTAGGGTCCTTCAAGAACAGTAAATATTCTTAATCTCTGAGCCATCTCTCCATCCCGCCCACGTGCGCGTGTGCGCACACGCGCGCGCGCACACACACACTTTGTCAAATCTTAGAGGCAAGCACCTTTACCAACCCTGAGGCATCTCACTGGCCTTGGGTCATCATTCTTATATGAATATATAAACCCAAGTTTATTGAGCAATCCAGGCATACCAATTTAAACTAGATGGTTTTGGAATAGCAATAATAAAAAATACTGTCTATTAAAATGTAAGGAGAACATGTAATCAGAATTTATTTTTTTACTTATATTTTGACCTTTCTTTTAACTCTTTGGACTGTGACCTTTCTTTGATGAATGAAACATTCTCCTTACTTATCACGTGGCCTCCGTACGTGGCTAACTCCAGTGAGCTGTACGGCCATCCACGTTTAATTGCGGGGCAGGGTGGGGTGGTGTTAAGTCATTTCTCTTCTTTCATATCAAATATGATTGCTGGCATTTTCTTTTTTGTTGCTTGTTTCCTATAGATAATTTTTTTTCTTGAAATGAGCATATTTATTTCTTTAATTATTAGGAACTGTTTAGATAATCAACTAGTCTTTCCTCTAGTTGATTCCATTCTTATTTTTAGAGACTCGAAAACTTTACACTGTTCTCTCATTTTGTTTGATGCTATAAAAAAAAGAATTCATGAATTCTAAAATTCAAGAACCCAATTTCCGTATATAAGGGGTCTTGAACCAAAATTTCCAGTATTTATTATATAAAGAATGTGATGAAATGAGCTGTACACCCTAGCTACTCTTGGTACTATCACACTTCCTTTTACTGCCCAAACCAGATCTCTTTCAAACCTCAAGGATTCTTGTAAGATTTGGCTACATTTCTGCACCTTTTGTGATTTCATAAATTTTCTCTGTTCTTCACTTTGTCCTTCATCTCTAAAGCTGGAAGGGTCTTTATCTTTTTTTGGTACATAAAACAGTAACATCACCATTCAAACCTCTGTGGCCACATTGATTGTCCTGCTGCTGCTATCCTGTCTTCAATCAGAGCAACCAGAATCAAACATGGTACCCCTATGGTTTTGTTCACGGATGGATTGACTTTTCTTTTTTATTCTATCTGTTTAAAGGTCTGTTTTGGGGGCCTCTTTGGCTATACAAAGATGTCAGGTTTATGATTTCATAAAGTAGGTTACAGCTATTCCTGAATTTCTTTTCCAAACCCACGGTTCTTTAAAAATAGGGTTACAATAGAGTTTCTGCTGATCTTTAGATTTTTCTTTTCATCGCTGACTTATCTTTGAATTTCTTTTGCTCCTGTGAGCTTTCTTCTTAAAAAACTGCTATCTTTTATTTTAGTGACTCTCTTGATTTTTAGGTGTGTTAACTTGACTCAATGGTAAGCCTACAGAACTAGGTCAAATTTTTGTTTGTTCTTACTTGGCATCTTTTTTGTTCATGTCACTTTGTCCTTACTAGGTTGGATTGTATACTTACTGCACATAACTTTTCCATAGTTGCTCTTGACTTTGACAACCCCCTCCAATGGTAAATGTTTTTGTTTTGTTTGAGACAGGATATTGCTATGTAGTCCAGGATAGCCTGAAATTAAATTTTCATCTTTTTGTTTGTTCATTCATTCATTCATTCATTCAGTCAGTCAGTCAGTCTTGCTCGCTTGCTCTCCCCTCCTCCCTCTATCTTCCTTATCCCTGCCATTTTCCTCTTCTCTATATTTTGAAAAAGGACCTTGCTCTGTAGTCAAGGCTGACCTAGAACTCACTGTTTTGCCAAAGGTGCCTTTCAACTTGTAGCAGTCCTCCTGCCTCAGCCTTCTGAGTGCTGGGATTCCAGATGTGAACCACTTTGCTTGGCTTTCTTTGGTAGTGCCTAATGGTGAGATTGGTTAGTATTTCCTATAAACAGGTATAGAAACATTGACTTTTAGAACTAGGAGAAGCCTTTAGAATAAACCACTGTGACCACAGTCCCAGTTTTATAGGTCAAGAGCTGGCGTGTGTTTCTGAAGCCCCGGGAGCTGCACTGACTGTTTTTCCCAGCATACTATGTTCTTTGGCTATGTGGCCTTAGCAGCCAAATAACCGGGTCGGAGAACAACGGCTAGGTGTCGACCTAGATGCCATGAGTCACTCTCCAAAGTTCACTGAGATTTCCATACCACCTAAGTCCCGATGTTCAATGCAGGACGTGAGGTTGAATGTGACTCTAGTCTGTGCATCCTGAGAAAGTTACCTATCCTTTTTTTTTTTTTAGCGCTCAGTTCTTTACTTATGAACTGGAGAAAAGAGCAT